CTTCCGATCTAAGGACCTCGTGGCCTTGTCCCCCCGCAAGATCCCGCGCTGTCCCCTCCCGTCTCACCCGTAGCGAGGGTCCAGGGCGATGGCGCGGGGGTGCTCGATGTCCCCGGCCAGCAGCGTGGTCCTCATGGTGCCATCCAGCTTGGCCACCTCGATCTGGTCCAGGTTGCTCTCCACCCAGTAGATGTTACCAGCGATCCAGTCCACGGCCAGTCCCTCGGGGGTGGCCAGGCCGTACTGGATCACCACCTCAAAGCTGGTCAGAGCTGTGGGGCACAAGGTGAGGGCTCAGGCTGGTGCCCCTTCCCCAACTCACCCAGCACCACCACCCCCATGTCCTCACCAGCTCCACCCAGCTCAGCTGGGGTTGATCATGGGGGGACATGTCCTTCTCAAACAGGGCCTGAACACCCCTGTCCATGGTCCAAACCCCAAAGGGCTCAGCCCCCATCCACAGTTCACCCCAAAGGGCTCAGCACCATCCACAGTTCAGACCCCAAAGGGCTCAGCACCCATCCATGGCCCAGGACCCCAAGGGGTCAGCCCCCCATCCCTAGTCCTGGCCCTGGGCTCCAGCAGGAGCAGCACTGATGGGGAGGGTGTCCTCTCTGTGCCCAGCTGCTGGGCTGCAATTACCAGCAGGGAAGCGCTGGGAATGCTAATTAACTACTGCATAATGAAAGCAGAACAGGCTCACTATCAGGGCTGTGGGCTTCAGCTGCCGCATCACCGTGGGGTGCCACGGAATCACTGACCCCAGACCTGCACCCCTGCTTTTCTTCCAACCAGCCCCCCCACACCCAGGCTCCTCACCCCCATTCTCCAGCAGCTTCCCCCTGTAGATCTTGTCCTCCACCACGTCGGTCCAGTACAGGGAGCTCTGGTTGAGGTGGAAGTCCAGGGCGATGGTGTTGCGCAGCCCGGGCACCAGCACGCTGTAGTCCCCCCGGTGCAGGTCGATGCGCCGGATCTCGTGGCGGTTGGAGAAGATGATGAACGGTTTGAAGGGGTCTGGGGGAAGCAGGGCAGGGTCAGAGGGGCAGGGACAAGGCTGCACTCAGCCCCAGCTACACCGTCAGCACACAGATCCCACCGGCAGCCAGCCACATCCATCAGCACATGAAAGGACAAACCCCCCTGAGGCAGCTGGGGGGCTGCTACCAGCCCTGGAACCCCCAAACACACCCAGGCTGCGGCAGCTCTCGCCATCAGGCTCCAGCATCCAGCCCTCGTAGCAGGAGCACTTGACATTGTACTTGTCCTGCTCGCACTTCTGGCTGCACTTGAGGTGCTTGGCACAGTAGCTCTGGATCTGGCAGGTCTTGTTGTCAGCACCCAGCTCCATGCCCAGGGGACAGGAGCACACGATGCCCTCGCCAGGGGCCACCGTGCAGTTGTGGCTGCAGCCGCCGTTGTTGAGAGAACACTGGTCTGTGGGGACAGGACATGCTCGTCACCTCCTTGTCGCACTCCCAGGTCACCCTGTGTCCCCACTCCCAGGTCACCCTGTGTCCCCACTCCCAGGTCACCCCATGTCCCCACTCCTGGGTCACCCCGTGTCCCCATTCCTGGGTCACCCCAGGTTCCCATGCCTGGGTCACCCCATGTCCCCACTCCCAGGTCACCCTGTGTCCCACTCCCAGGTCACCCCATGTCCCCACTCCCACGTCACCCCATGTCCCCACACCCGGCCCCGCTCTCACCGCAGAGCTCGCCCTCGTCGGAGCCGTCGCCGCAGTCGTCGGAGCCATCGCAGAGCTTCTCGGGGGGCAGGCAGATGGAGGTGTTGTTTGCACAGGTGTGCGAGGGGGGTTTGCACACCAGGGACTCGCAGTTCTCCTCGTCAGAGTTGTCCTCGCAGTCGCTGTCCCCGTCACAGACCCAGGCCTTGCTGATGCACCGGGCTGTCGGGGAGGGAAGGGGGCAGAGCAGAAGCAAAAGGGATGTTATGCCAGGAATTTCCAGATTTTACCTCGTGCACGGGGGGAATGGGGGTGTTTGAGTAGCTCAGGGCTCCCCAAAAGTTGGACCAGAGCTGGTCCAGATGGGACAGGTCAGGGAGGGCCTAGGGGGGCACCGGGGGCTCAGAGGGTCAGTCCCATAACTGGTGTCCTTCCACCCTTGTCCCCAACCCACCAAAGCATCTCCCAGCCCCTTCCTCAGAGAAGGGGAGAAGGGATCTGAGGATGGCACCATCCATCAGGATCATGGTACAGGGGTTGGGCACTGGTGTTTCCCCATTATCCCGGCACTGAGGACAGTCCAGCACCCCCAGCTGGGATCCCCTGCCCCCCTGCTCTCACCCGAGTCCTTGCAGCCAAATTTGACGTTGGGGTCACAGACGTGGGTGACCCCCTCGCAGTTCTTCTCGTCGCTGGAGTCCATGCAGTCCGTGTCGCCGTCACAGCGCCAGCGCATGGGGATGCACAGCCCGTCCAGCCGGCACTGGAACTCGTCCGTGTGGCAGCCCCCGGGCGGGCGCGTGGCTGTGGGGAGGACACCGCTCACTGCCTGCACCCCACGGAGCCGGGGGGCTCCAGGACTGGGCAGGGACCAGGCCCTCAGCCAGCAGAGAAACAGCTGGAAGCACCCAGAGGCACGGGAAGGGGATCTGGGCACCGAATGTGGGCAGAGAAAGCTGCAGAATTCCCTGTCTGGAAGCAGGGCGGCTCTGCCCGAGGCAGGGTTTGGCTCTTTGGGCAACGCCTGCGGTTTGGGGTCCCTCCCATGGGCTGGGGCTCACCCTGGTTGGTGCAGTTGGCGTGGGTCTCGTCGCTGTAGTCGCCACAGTCGTTGTCCCCGTCACAGGTCCAGTGCACGGGGATGCAGCGCCCGCTGTTGCACTTGAACTGGTTGCTGGAGCAGGAGTGGCTGCAGCCCGCCTCGTCGCTGTTGTCCCCGCAGTCGTTGTCTGCAGAGGGAAGGGGGGCGGGCAGGGGGTCAGCAGGGGCCCGGCCAGGAGGGGCTGGCAGGAGGGAGGACAGCAGAGACCCCTGGAAGCGGGGAACAACAGGCACCGGACAGACCACGCCGGCAGACGGGACGTGGGGTGACTGCAGC